TCCTAGCCCAGTGCCCTGTCTACTATATCATGAACATCTACGGAATCAAATGGCTGACCTCTTAATTAAAAAAAAAAATTATATATATATAATTGTACATATTGTATATTGTATAACTACATATATATACACACACACATATATATGTACATATATATATAAAAATTGTAACATAGTATCATAGCTCATGCTCTGAGAGCTCCAGATTTTTCTAGGAATCAACTAGTCTGATGAGATTATGAAGGCTTTGATAGGACCCATGCTGTGAGGCCCCTATGTTTTATTCAGAGTCTACACAGGTGGCATTTCCAGTTTGGGCCAAACTTCACAGATCCCACTGAGGTTGGTATAACTGTGCAGCTCTGCACCTATATAAGAATGATAAATATAGGCTATTTTAATCTGGGGGGAAAACATCACTTTGGTAGTTTAAAACTCTAAACAATTAGAACAGTAAAAGTATTTATCTGTTTCTGTGCTCACTTGTAGTTTCTTGCTTCAATCACCCAAGCTAGTACAAGGTATGGATCTCAAAGAAAGCTGTAGAAGTTTCCTTGGAAATAGCTGCAATCTGAGAGCATTCACTGGAAAAAGCTTTATCTGTACACAAATAGGAAATGAAAAATGGAAGTAAATATGGAAAAAATAAGAGAGTTTAAGATGATCAGATTCAGTGAATTTCTGATTTATGCTAATGCTGGCATTCTATTCCGGGTTAAATATATAATTCACTGGGAAAAGAGAAAGTACAGTAAGCATCACATTGCTTAGATATCTGCCGCAAGTCCAGTGTCATTCTAACTGATAGTAATAACAATTATCAGCCTATAAATCCAAGTAAAGTTTGAGAACTAGGTAGAAATAATCATGACGTCCAATGAAGAACAGATACAGTAGTACACAATCAGGAAACAAACAAACAAACAAAAACCTCCCACTCCCGCCATGTAGCTACTAAGAAGGTGGCCTGAAAGCCGGGCTGCCTGAGCTAAGGACCAACTCACACTTACTGACCACGAGACACTCAGCAAGTGGCCTAATCCCTTCAAGACACAGCTTTTTTATCTGTAAAACGAGAAAAGCCGCACTATCTACTTTGTCAGAGTCGATGTGAGAAGTAAACGAGCTAAAGTATAGTAAGCACTTTATACCATGCCTGGTGTAGAGTTAAACACACATTGTAGGTCGTCTTATTTCATCTCAGGCAAAACAAACTTCATGCAACCTCCAATAACTCTGCTGACTGTGGGTTCCCATGAGCCTGGGACAGCCTGGTTTACCAGACTGGTCTGTCTCAGCAAGAGCACCCTTTCTCACTCCAAAAAGCATCCCCGTTTGGATGCAAAATTTTACACGCCCCCGCCCCCCTACAAATAATAACCATGAGTTATTCATTCCCGCCTCCAAGCCTTCTTTCTGCTGGTCTCCCCAATTAAATGATCTCAACTCCTCTCCGCCTTCTGAAACATTTCCACTGCCAGTCTTTCAGAACTGCTGTTTTTTCTAAGCAGAATGAGCATCATTAGCTCCATTTTATACATGTGAAAACTGAGGTAGGAAGAGAAAGGGTAAATTCAGAAATTACAGACAGAAGAATTCAGAGATATCTAGAGTTAACACAAATAGCCCAGAAGAAACATAAATGGCCAAGCTAGGCCTAGAACTCTGGTCTTCTGATTGCAAAGCTTAGATTCCTTCTTAAAGTCACTATGAAGGAGAGAGAGAATAATAATGTATCGAACCACATATACATTGTTATAGATTTGGACTATACAGTTTATACCTGACCTAGGTAAGAGATGGGCAGATGTTTACAATAGGTGGTAGCGTCAAATAAAGAAAGGGAAAGGGAGAAAAGAATATTGTTTCAGTAGGAATACTTTAGTATATATTGTGATTTTTTAAAAAACTATGGGAAATATGAGCAGATAATAGTATGTTGTGTTACAGCTTTCAAAAACACTATTTTAAAAATCTTTTAAACAACCTTGCAAGGTAAGTGAGTATCGTCCCATTCCTTAAGAAGAAATGGAGGCTGACAGGAATGAAATGAATTGCCCAAGGACCTCTGAGACAGTAACTGAGCTGGGGCCATAATTCAGGACTTCTGGGTCCTCCTCTCAGATACTTTCTGCCACACCTATCTGCCTCTGAGCTGTGCTAGCAAAAGATGATCATCTGATCAGATGAACATGGCCTTTAAGAGGTGGGACCATTCAACTTATCATTGAAGACAGGACACTTGACAGTGTAAGGGGGCGCTCGTAATAATTATACGGCGACATTAGGTGTCAATGGACAGTTCCATCCAAAGTGGGAGGTGTGGTTGCCCTGCACCCTAGGTTACAGTGCACTCTCTGGTAAGTTTTGCACATTAAACTTCTAAGAAATGAGAACTTTCGTTTTTCTTAGAAAACAGAATAATTCATAAAATACTTAAAGCACAAGGCAGGCCAGGCATGGTGGCTCACACCTGTAATCCCAGCGCTTTGGGAGGCTGAGGCGGGCAGGTCACAAGGTCAGGAGATCGAGACCACGGTGAAACCCTGTCTCTACTAAAAATACAAAAAAAATTAGTGGGGCGTGGTGGCGGGCGCCTGTAGTCCCAGCTACTCGGGAGGCTGAGGCAGGAGAATGGCATGAACCCGGGAGGCAGAGCTTGCAGTGAGCCAAGATTGCACCACTGCACTCCAGCCTGGGTGACAGAGCGAGACTCCGTTTCAAAATAAATAAATAAATAAAATAAAATAAAATAAATAAATAAATAAGCACATGGCAATATGGACCTTATTGGGTGCAAAGAAGTCTTTTTTCCATCTTTCTTTCTTCTATTCTTGGGAAATGATTTACATTATTTTTGGAGAAAAGAGGCTTAATCCTTCTAGAGATGATTCCTCCCCAAGTCTTAAAAGTGGTCTTGCAATTTAAAGAATAAGAAAACAGACCTAAGTTGCCGTCTTTATCTGCATCCAAAAATTATCTTAATGATCCTTATGAAAAGCTCCTTACTTCACTATTACAAAACAACACGGACTGAAAGCATGCTGTGAGATCCTGTTGGGGCTCTGCCATTTCCTAGCTGTGTAATTTTAGCCAGGTGAGTTTCCTCATCCATAGCACGACTCAAGGTTCAAGCCATACACTAGACACTTCCACTCTTCTTCAGATTATGATAAAATCAAAGCTTTTACAGGTTCAGTGCCTTTCTCAAAAATCACAGAATTGTAAGAACTGTAGCCAGGAATGAAATTTGACCCTCTGAATTCCAAACCCTTTCCTCTATGATCCTCTGCTTTAAAATTATTGGGAAAGTGTCATTGAAGACACTGGTAATGTTATATTAAAGATCAGTTCACCCAAGAGGTCAAAAAAAAAAAAAAAAAAAAAAAGAAAGAAAAACAAGAAATTACAGAAGACCATTCTTACATAAGTAGTAGGTATGACTGAATAACCTATCACGGATACTGTTTACTGTTTAACAGAGTATATTTATAATGCTAAATATTGGAGTCAAGATCATATATTTTCTAAATAGGTTTTAGGAACAAAGACACAAAGCTTATAAATACTGAAGGAATACAGCATGTTACTGCCTGAATACAAGACTTAATTGACAATTTCTTCTTAGACCTGTCTTTAGAATTTGGTGACCTAAAAAGTACTCTTAACATACCTAACAGCCCTAAAATATTCATGTGAAAGTGATAGTTTTAATGATGACATCAACAGTGCCTCACGATATTGCTCATTTGAACAGAGAAGGACAAATTCTCCTCAAAAGATGCTAATAATGTTTTTAAAATAAAAAACACAAAACAAAGTCCTTATATCTTAGTCACAAGATACCAATAAAACTGAATTTATGTCTAGTTTAATTGAACAATGGAAAAGTCAGCAGTTAAAGGGCAGATAAACTTCCCTTTGTCCCTCTTTTCCTGAGAAACTTTCAAATGTTGAAAATCAATTCCTTTTGTCCCCTTGTTATTCATCTGCTACACATTAAATAGAAACTCTGGGCATTGAGTGATTCCTGCAGAGTCTTTCATCTACAGAAGAGCCTGGTACAAATTAAATACTTACTCTCCCTCACAAATTATAGATATGTATTGTAGTACACCATCGATTTATCAGTCCACGCCATTGCGAGTTCAGCTTGGTGAGAGCAGCCCATTGTAAGTCCTTTATCTAAAGTTACTCTGGGGTTAAGGATTGTGATGCTATGTTAATTAATGTGGAGCATTACTATTCTGCTCTGATTTTGCAGGCTATATTTTAAAAATCATTTTGTTGGATATTGTGTTTTAGTTACTTTGCAGATCTTTGAGCCATTTAGCCTAGCTGTGTGTGTGTGTGTGTGTGTGTGTGTGTGTGTGTGAGAGAGAGAGAGAATTATTATACTGGAACAATAATATATGTAATATTACCTCTAGCAGCAATGTTACGCTATGAAATGACCATCATATGGGTTATCACAAATAATATGGAAGTACAGACTCTCTCCAAGATCTGTTAGAAATATTCAGTTGATGCAAACATTGTTTTAGCATTGGACTTTAAGACCAATAGCTAAGGCAGTGATTTCAATCCCAAGCCTGCCAGATGTCTTTGGAGACAACGGCTTACACAGTATCTATTAAATCCCAATTAGAAAGCAAGCATACACATATGCACACGCACACATACACAAAACACACACACACACAGAAACACACAAAGCCAAGCTATGAGTCTCTAAATAATGCTGGGAAGTTATAAGAATTTCACTTTAATTGGTGTAACCTACCAAACATATTCAAAACCTTTTTTGGCAAAGATTAGGTGTTCAATAAAAAGACAAATGTGATCAGTTCTTGGCAAATTTCACGAGTACCTTGACTTTCCCCACACTGTTTTAAATTTTTTTCCAAATATTTGTCTAAAGTGATCACCTTGAATAAAAAATGAGCACTCTAATGAATGAAAACTATCTTGTTTATTTGGAGCCTCCCAAGACGCCCCACCTCGCTTGAATCCTCCTGCTGATTGATAACTGCTAGCGCGTCCTCTGCTGCCTGACGCTTGGCCTCGGCAACCGTGCGCTCCATCTTGGCCCGCTCTGTCGTGATCATGTCGTGGGCTTTCCGCTCCGCCTCAGACACGGCCTTCTGCAGCTCTGTCATCGCCTGGCGCTTCACCTCGTTGACGGCCTCCTCTGTGTGCCAGTCAGGCCAAACCGGACAAGAAAACACTCTCGGTTAGCCCAAGTCATTGGATATGGATTACTTTTCTTTTCTTTTTTTTTTTCTTTTCGAGTCAGGTCTCACTATATTGCCCAGGCTGGTCTCGAACCCCTAGGTTCAAGTGATCCTCTGCATCAATCTCCCCTAGCAGCTGGAATTAAAGGCACCTACCAGCCACCATGCCCATTATCTGATTACTTTTTTATAGAATTCTATAGAACAAGCATAACTCTCATCCAAATTATTGGGCAGTTCCAGCAGTCTAAAAACTAGCAGATCTTTTGCCATACATTTAGGAAAACAAAGAGTGAAAATGTTTCTTTAATTTGAATTTATGGAAATATTTTTTGAAACTCCTATATCATTATTATAATTTTTTCATCAAATTGATGCCTCCAGAAATGATTCTGAGACCAGGTAAGAAGTTAAAGGACAAGGACATTTGCAAGAAACCTGTCTGAATAATTCAGACACATAAAGTTAGTTTTCCACAATACTAAAAGTTAATATGAATATAGGAGGGTCCACAGCTCAAGCATTCAGAAAAAAAGAGAGGGAGAGAATGGATTTTACACATAAACAAGTAAGTGCAAACTATTAGTTGCTGGTATAATCTACAACACAATAGTGAAAAGGTAACTCAGATAGCAATTAAGTTACTATAGACCTTTTAATGGAAAATCAATGCTATAATGGATGATCCAGTTTTACTTTTGAAAAGTCATTTCCTGAGTAATATAAGTATGTGCCTTTATAGATTCAATGATAGAGGTTTTAAAAAATAATCTCATTTTTACATTTTAAGCTGCTGTCCATTTACTTTACCAAATATATACAGTGGTTTTGCATAACCAACTGTTGCACTAGACAAATATAACTGAATCATACCATGGGCCAAAACAATCAGGCCTGACTATGAGTCTGCAAGGTGTCAAATAAGCTCTTTATTTTTGGCTGAGGAAAGGGTGTAAAGATTCAACTAATGTACAACATAAGATTGACAACTAAAACAAGTAATTTCCATTAAAAAAATTAACTGTTCTAATTAACAGGGGAAAATATCCTCCCCCTGAATTAGTTTATCTAATTTTCATCTTTATTCAAAGCAAAATGACAATGATTAATTGAAAATTTAATAAGCAGTAATTATTAACTTGGCAAACCTAGTACCAATTAACACTCTATTAAAACTAATTATGACATGTTTCATTCAAGTGTTTGCACTTAATTGTTTCACCCACTTAAAAAGCACCTTAATTAAATGTTCTGTTTAATTAAAAACATAGATTCCTAATAAAAATGTTTTACTGTAGATTAAAAATGTAAGAGATGCAAGTGTTCCTATGGTTTCTTCAATTCCTCTGGTTTATTTCACACATCTATCGTCCATGACTTGAGAATCATCAGAAGCTCTCCATTACTAATTAACTGTCATGACTTTTGTAGCCTCTGTCATTTTAGCAGCATTATATCTGAAGTACATTTCTTTGCAATTACTGTCTGTTAGGTTTTATAAACTAAAATATAAGTAAAAGATCCATGCTGGAAATATTAACTAAATTGTATTAAGCCTTTGTTAGCTGCTTTAAGATATGCATTTAAAATTATGTAGAATCAGAGTATTGCAAACAGCTTACAGCACCTTCTTCACTAGGAGGTGAAAAGATGCCTTTATTACGCTATCATAAATGACTTGGGGCACAAGGGAAGTACTGCCCTTCTAACTATACAGCCAGGGTCTAATTTAGTTTGAATATTCAAGGTGAATTAAAATTCTATCTAAGTGGTAATACAGGACAATAATTTTTGCTTACGATCAAAGCTGTAGCTTGACTAATTGTATATGCAAATCAGGCAATTTATATTTAAATTATGCATTCCTATTCTAATCCCACAGGCATATACAGATCAGCAAAGAGAATTGGTAGGACATTTGCAAGGTGCTTGAATATTTATTACCAACTGCAAACATTCTCTGATCGTGTAAAAATATACTGAAGAAAACATTCAGTTACAAATTTAAAACCATCTTTATGTTAGATTTTTTTTCCAGTTTCATAAAGACCCCTTGTAACTTTTGAGTGCATTTGTTACTTTTGCTTTTAAAAATACTACTTCTAGAGGAGAATATGGCCTTGAACAATTGTTTGGATTTCTAATCTTTAAAAATGTGTGTTGTTATGTTATTATACTGTATTATTTGGGGCAATGTGAAAGATTTGCATAGGGTCTGTAGATTAAATAAGTCTTGTATCAATGTGAATGTCTTGATTTTGGTAACTGTACTGAAGTTAAGTAGAATATTCTTGTTCTTGGTAAACTGACATTCAAATCATTTAAGGTAAAGAGAAATTATGTCTGCAACTTACTCTCAAAATGATTAGAAATACATATATATATATATTTAAAAGAAAGAAGAGGATGAAAGAGAGGAAAAGATAAAATACTAAAGCAAGTATAACGGAAACTAGGTGAAAGTTATAGAGGAATATTTTGTACTTTTTTTGTAACTTTCCTGCATGTTTGAGATCATTTCAAAATAAAATGATGCAAAAAGCTATAGATGTACTTTCAAGCACAGGGTATACTTCTTGTAATTATAATTTTCTGTGAAAGTAGATGCATTTGTTATGCTACATCAAGTTTTGGGTGTTCTGCCCCTTTTGTATTTTTCAAACACTTTATTCACCTATCTTTTGCAACAAAGATAACATATAATAATTTCATTGCAAAGACACACTTTATAGGTTTTCTTCAAAAAAAATTTTTGCCCATAGCCAATTTTAGAAACCTAGGATAAAAGCTTTCAAATTGTAACAAGCTGAGTGCAGATGTCACATTCTGCCCTTGGTGTTTTCATCGTGTTGGATGCCTTGACACTGAACACTAGAAATGCCATTTAAGAAGCCTATAAAGATAAATATTATAAGTAGTTACTGGAGATTTCTAGATGAAACTGTCATCCATACTTGGAGGATTTAATATACTCCTTAAAATTTAGCATCTATCCATAGAAAACTATTCCTAAACTGTTTTTAAGCAGCAGTTTAGGGATACCACTGTGAGAAGAATACAAATTTAATGTCATATTTTAGATTGAAAACCTACTGTAGATGATAGGCACTGTAACAAATAATCTAAACACTTCCTAGATAAGGTTTAACCCTTCTTGGAGAGGGCAAGCACACAACAAAAACAAGGACTGCTCTTAAGTCCCCAAAACCTAAATTACACGCAGAATTAGGTTAAAAAAACCCCCAAAACAGACAGTAAAGAAAAATAATAGTGGATTCAATAGATAACAATATGCCATGTAGGAAAAAATAAACAACTGACTAAGTGGAAAATACATAGTGCAGTTATGAATCTGCGTCCAATTGCTTCCCACTTATGGTAGGACTTCCTTTGTGCATAGCTATTCAAGTTGACTTTCCAACAAAGGTGCTATATTCAGAAAAATCTGTTCTCATTTAATAGCAGTCAAACAAAGACTTGAGCAGATAATAGCACATAAGGAATTTGGATTACACAAGACCTTACTGGCAATTTTTCTTTATGAACTATGAAGAATTTCACTTAAATATACTTAAAAAGGGAAGTGCAGAGAAAAGACTCACTCCTCTGAACATAAAGTCACCCTTCTTCTGTCCAAAATCACAATTATTTGTACCTCTTATTGGAATAAGTTGCACTGACAGCTTAGAAATGGAAGAGAAAACGGTCAGAAGGAAGATGTTGCCCGTCTTTTCAGGTAGGTGGTACTCGGCATATTTTTAACAGCTTGAGAGTACCACATAACTATTATTGTAAATCTGGTAAAACTACACAGTTCAGCAACATATGTATTTTAACCTTTAAGCTAAATGGACCTATCTAATTTGCATATTGGATGTGCAAGACAGCTTTCTGATTCTTAATCTGGGCTACTAAACCTACAATGCTATCAGATTTTAAAGCTCATTATCACTCTTACAAAAACAGGTATTTCTTGGAAAACGTATAAAAATACTTGGATAAGATACATGTGACTAGAGAGTCAGTAAGTTACACAGAACTACAAACACAGCTGAGTGAAATCCCAAAGAGAAATCTTGTGTAGAAAAGAAACAAAAAATCTGTCCCCTGACTCTTCAGTTTGTACTGTTTGTAGAAGTAGCATTTCCCAGTTTCCCAACTCAAGAAGACAAACTATTTTAAGAGTTGGAGTTACAGTAGCTGAAAGCCTTGGTATGTTTTTCATGGCCTCTTCAACTCTTGAAACAGGTTTATGTTTCATCTCCTGAGTTGGTTTTCAAAAAGGTTTTTGCTTGCTAGGTGGTTCCACCAAAATTCTCACAGATCTGGACTTCTTTAAGCCCAATAACAAGCCAGTGGGTCATGAGGAGCTTTAAATCTACTATTACAAAATACAGAGCAGCATCTTGTAATGGAAAGCAGACAGTGTATATGAAAATCAAAAATAAATGTTTAGTAACTTTGTTATTTCACTTAAAAAGTAATTTAGCTCTGATTGTTGAATACTAATTAGTACAGAACAACAATTTTAAAAGTCGATTGTAACCAAAAAATTATCTGAGTACTTTAACAAGTCAACTAGATGTAATGTGGGTGTTTTTTTTTCTTTTTTTTTAAGAATGCAGGAGAAAAGGCTGAAGTATGCACTTTAATTTCTAAGACATTAGATTTTTTTCATCATAGAAAAAAAATGCATGCAAGCTAAGACCTCCTATGCCAAGTTTCAGCCTGAAATCATTATCGCCCTGAAAAAAAAAAAAGGAGTTTTATAATGGAAATATTGCCAGCTTCTCAATTATAGTGAAACTGGCAGATGTTACTAAAATAAAAATGATTTCATCTTGTAATCAGGCCTGGTTTAAGAATATTAATCAGGTGTTTTGTTTTGGTTTGCTTTGTGGTTTTTGTTTTGTTTTGTTTTTGCTGTTGTTGTTGTTAGCAGTAAAGTCCTTTCTTGTCATTCCTCACATCACTGCATTAACAACTGCACACAGCTGCCAGAACACGAAACTCATGTTTTTAAACAATTCTTACCAGCTTTCTTCCAGATCTCCTCTGGCACGTATCCAGACGCAGGCCTGTGAAGGAATTCCCGATGCGCGTCTATGAAAAGGATGGGAAGGGGGTGGAGAGAGGAGGAGAGTACTGTAAGCACACTTGTGTCATTGTACAGAGTGAAAGTAAGCAATGCCCATTCTCCTGGCTTCTCTACAAAAACACAATTTTAAAAGGCTAAACATTTCACTTCTTGAAAATACACAAAAATAGCAAGGCCTGTCATCAGAGCCCAAGGAAAACAGGTCATTGGTCTAAATGCCCTGCATGCTCAGAGCCAAAGCAACTTGATTTCATTGTACAATATGATGTTTGGGAACACTGTTCTCACCACTTTCTGACTATGGAGACTTCTATAGATATATTTTGTTAAAGAAAATAAATTGTATTTGGTAGTTTTCCTTTCAAGAGTCAAACTGGTGGTTAAAAAATCAAATGTTCAGGTAATGTAATTTCCAGAGAGCTCTGATTCTGCCACCTTTCTATGAATAGCAAGCTCCACTCTATGGCTAACCAGTTCTCACACTTAATTAATTCTTAAAAATCTCAGTGAGCATTAAAATTTTTCACACAAATTAGATCATATGGATTTGACATGGGTGGAAGCCAGAAAGACTCATTAGAATGGATTCACAGACATTCTGTCGAGCAAAGAGAATTAGCCCATGCTTTCCAGAAAAGGAAATGAAGTTCCACTTTAAATTAAATGCTGTGCTTACTATGCTTCTCAGATTTTAAAAGTTTAAGAAAACAACTAATAATAACTTTGATACAGGAATGCTAACTCCTAAAATAATATGTTCATGGAAATAAAACAAAACATTTTATAGTACTTATATATGCTCGAAAGTAAACAAAGTGCATACAGTCTTCCATAGCTAAAATATGCATTTCACGTCTTCCATATCAGATTTTCAATAAAAGCCTCCTTATATAGAAGAGTTCAGTAAGAAAAAAATCATTTTAACTTTTATAAAACACAATTATTAAACCCATGATAAATTCTGAGGAAAACTGAAATTTTCTCTATGTGTAGAGTAAATGTTGAGTACCATGTATGTTTAAACAATACTTTATCTAATGGTTATGTTGAAGATCAAGACATTCAGTCCAGTCTCCTATATTTTATGGTGCTACACAATGTCAAAAATAAAGAGAAGCATGATCAGTTTGGCTAAGTATATGTTATTACATTTGAATGCTTTAAATACATTTGAATGCTTTGAATTCTTGCAGGGCACATAGATTATCAACTGGCAAGAACATTAGATTTTCTCAACTATACTGAATTAGCAAAAATTTACTATAGCTTGGTAAGGAATATATGGAAACTCTCTATATCATCTTTGCAATTTTTTAATCTAAAATTATTCCAAATATTTAAAAGTTTATTTTCAAAAGCTTACACTCTGATGTCATGACTACTTAATAGGATGGACTGGAAATATCTATGCATTCTCCTGTGTGTATTCATTTCTATAAAGTAAATGACAAAAATAAAAACGCTTTTACTGAAGTAACTTTCATTCTTAAGGCGAGATAAAGCTGGTACATAAACAACCTAAAAGAAAATGTGATACAACTAATTAGATTTATCAAGATTATCTTCCTTTCCACTATAACTATTTCCAGAAGAAATAAAGTGCAATCAAGTTCATATTTAGCCATGTGACACAGTACAACACAGAGATTTACTTATGACAACATTTAAAGACAACTTTTAAGGAGAAAAGACTTTGATTTAAGCATAATTTATTGGATAAGAATGAGAACAGGATCTGTAAAGTCTGAGGAAAGAAAAAACATGACTCCAAAGTGGCAACTTTTTTTTCATTTATTGTGTTAAGAAGAGACCTGTAGTTTATAAAAAATTATTATTTTTTCATTATTATTATTATTATTATTATTATTTTGAGACAGAGTCGTGCTCTGCTGCCCAGGCTGGAGTGTAGTGGCATGATCTCAGCTCACTGCAACCTCTGCCTCCCGGGTCAAGCGATTCTACTGCCTCAGCCTCCCGAGTAGCTGGGATTACAGGCACATGCCACCAAGTCCAGCTAATTTTTGTATTTTTAGTAGAGATGGGGTTTCACCGTGTTGGCCAGGCTGGTCTCAAACTTCTGACGTCAGGTCACCCAGCCTCCCAAAGTGCTGGGATTACAGGTGTGAGCCACTATGCCCAGCCTATAAACATTATTTTTTGATTAAATACTCAAGTATTATGATAAAGAACAGGAAACGAGATGTTTAGGTATCCAAAGTCCATGCATGAAAGATGCTAATTACCAGCCCCAGGCAACATAGGCTGAAGAAAGTTAGTTCTAGCGCCCAGTGAAGCAGCTATTGACCATGAAACACTGAGTATGTTAGTTTGTCCATGTCTCAGATGCCTCATCTATAATAAAGTGAGGACAATACTACTATTATTTGAGAGCACTGCTGTGAGGATTGAAGGAAATACCTCCTACTACATACACATCCTAAACTCTCATTATCTGGTATTTGCTATTATCCTCATTATTATCATCATTATTATTACTATGTGCTCTTGTAAGAATGGCTATATAATTATTTCCTTATAAATAACTAAGGTGAAGAGAATATTTTAAAGTTTATCTTTTCTCTCAATGTTAAAAATCCAAATATCACAAATTTTGAAGAGAACAAAGCCATTAAAGAAGTTTGGATTAAGCAATACACACCAAGTAATTTTTTAAACTCCCAGAATCTATGTTGCTTGGAAACAGAAAATATTTCTATAGTTCACAATTCGCTGCCTTTGTCCTTGGAAGCAAAATCTTCAAATTTCTTAGATGACACTTTCAAAAATTTTACTTGGGCCTCACCCATGAATGTTTGTAACACCCAAATTGACTCAAATATTAACGTGCCAGGCTCAACTGACCTTCCATCTTCTATGGGCTTCACAGCAGGTGTCTTGAGGGTACATATACCACACTGGAAAGTTGTATAATGTTTCACCTTGGTTACATCTTCCTAAATTTCTCACTGACACATTGCCATGTCCACATACGCTCAAACTTTAACTGACTTAGAAACCCAATAGAAATGCTAAAGTCAATTATGCAAAAGTTTTCTTAATGATAACCTACCTTCTAAAAGACGGTTTTCCAAAATAGCAGAATCTAAAGGGAAATAATCATATATACGTATTTTACAATATCCTCTCTAGTTCTAAGTTAGTGTACTCAATAAATGTCAGGTCTACCAACAAAAAGAACAGAGTGATTGGTAGCAGGTGTACTCCTCAGAAATCTGTTTGATACCCTGATAAACGCTACTTTATAGCTTCAGAAATCAAATGACTAATACATTTAATATCTCCTCTTCTGATTAAGCAGCAGCAATATCAGAATCTATATAGGGAAAACTGAGTTTGAAAAACAAAACAAGGGACAATTCTCTCCTAGGACTTTACTATTTTAGAATACTGGCTAATCTAGACACATCTACCTAAAACACCCTAAGATTCTAAGGCTTAGATTCTAAAGAAGCTAATTCTTAACCATTAGCTCGTCAGCACCTATAAAATATAGATTGCTATAAAAAGGAATCATTGTTCTAAAATGTAGTGGTAAAAGCAAAGACAGAAGAATCTATACAAGATGGTTTAAAATGTGAAATGTGTGTGTGTGTGTGTGTGTGTGTGTATATATATGCAACTACTGAAAGATGAAAACATTATAGAAAAGTCCTTCTAAGTTAAGTCTAGCTTGCTTTGGGTTGCAAATTGCTTGGTGGGGATGAGAGGGGATGAGGATGAAGAGAGCCTCTTGAAAATAATTCACGTCTATGAAGAGAGGAGACCAGGTCATAGTGACAGAAAATGGTGTAAGAAATGTGAAAGAACAGAAAGAGCAATCTATGATGTATGAAAGAGATGGAAGATGCACTACACTTACGACAGGATGGAGACCATTGGATACTAGATACTGCAAGGGCCGCCATCAATATACATGAAGGGATGAGCTGATAGCCTTTGGAGAAGCAATGTGACCTCATATGACCCAGGACAGCAATGCTCAAAGCTTGGCAGCACCTAGGTATGGCCTTCATCCTGTAGTGGGCAGAGTGAGGCTGTGATCATGATAATATCTATTACAAAAACCATCAAAAGAAAGAAAGAGTTAAGTAATTTTATCTTTACAAATGCCACTTGCTTTTAAGGATAATACATTCAGAAATCTTCACCCTAGGTTTCAGAAGCCTAAATCCAACCTAGAAGCTAGCAACTGCTTTAGGATTTCCATTTTTTACAACAAACATACTTAATGCTCCAGGAAGTAACCGTCTCCTCTTAATTTTAAAAGATGGACATATTTAACTAATAGTCCCTTATTTTTAAACCCAATATAGTTAAGTACAGTAGGCATTTGCATTATGAAGTCAGCTGAATGACTGAGAGATTAATTTCATGATGTGATTTAAAGAAATCAATACAAGGGTACAGAACTCCAAACATTTACATGCAAATATACACAGAATAACTTGTTTGTGTTTTTCATATTCTGAGAGTATAGAAGTTGAAATATTTCATTGGCTGGGAGAAATCTATTTTTCTATAGACTTGTATTATGAATTAGGGTCCCAAAGGTACAACAGATTTACTATATTTAAGACAGGAGTATTTTCTAATCCTGTGCCTATTAAAGTAGCCAACTGCTTAGAAGTACTTTGTAGATGAAAAAAATACTCAATACACAATCTTGAATGCCAAGGAAAAACTTTACTAGTTTCATTTACCACTATTCTTTAAAGTTCATTTTATTTTATTTTTAAAATTTTTTAATTTTATTTTTTGAGACAAGGTCTTGCTCTGTTGCCCAGGCTGCAGGGCAGTGGCACAAACATGGCTCACTGTTACCTTGACCTCCTGGGCTCAAGGAAACCTCCCATCTTAGCCTCCTGAGCAATTGGGACCACAGGCATGCATCATCATGTCCAGCTAATTTTTCGATTTTTGGTAGAGATGGGGTCTCACTGTGTTTTCCAGGCTGGACTCAAACTCCTGGACTCAAGGGATCCTC